AGTTCATTCATTTTATTCACCAAAAGTGCAGAATAGTTTATTATTTTCCTCCTTTACACAATGGCTAATGAGCTGTAGGTCAGCTATCAGGCAATCTGCTTAGTGACTGCCCAAGAGAGTCACTTCTGCAGAGTCCAATGCTTTTGTAAGCTTTTGACATGACCATTTGTGCCACCATTACTACTTCCATTTGTTTCCCCCACTAGAACACCATTCCTACATAAAGTAAAGGAAAACTTCCCTAAAGTGCTTACCTATAATCCTGCCTGCTTTTCCCAGAACCAGAATATCAGTCCTCTGTGTAATTTCCTCTTTGAGGGAACCATTCATTCCCTTTCAAACTTTTCTTTCAATTATTTACAACAGGAGTACTGGAAAGATACAATTGTAGTCCTGTGCTGACTAAGAGCTCTTATCACAGAGCTACCATACCACTGCAAATAATTGCCTTTGTAATGTCAGAAGAGTCATGGTCAACAAACGTTCATTTGCCAGGAGAACCAGTGATAAATGTCATTAACTTAGAAAATGCCTGACAGTTTGTCCAAACAATCTAACAACTATGATCTGGAACCATAACAGATGGATGCCAGAAGTTCATAAAGTGAACAGTACAGAAAAGGATCTATGCCATAATAAAAGTAGGATAAATACCTTAATCATTAAAATGCATCAAACTTTCTATGGAATGTGTTACTAGAATAACATTCCTTCTGGGAAGAGAAAAGCACTGACACGCCAGCTTCTTCTTTTTAGAGAATGTGCTTACGCTGTTGTTATTTCTCTCAGTTCCTTCAGTTTTGTCTTGCTGGAAAAAAAGGGGTGTTTTTCCAAGCATCTTAGTTCAATAAAGTAGTTAGACATGGCTGAAAAATCCTTTCCACAGTCTACCATGTTAGCCAGCCATGCTGTAGCTCAGTTGGGATCCTTAATTTCAGGCTGATAAACCTTCCTGCAGTTTCCACCCAAAACTATATTTTACTCCAGGTTCATAAGCATTAATGATTCAACACACAAATTTCAATCATGTAAGGAAATACACCTTTTTGCCCAGTTTTACACCAAGAGATTTTGTACCACCCAATGACCATCTACTTAGTCTGAAAAAGAAATTTTTGAATGATGAAGTAAAACTAAGAATGACTTTAAAAACATGCTTTAAATGTAATGTGTGTTGCTCTTCCTATGTCATATTCCTAGTCCATTTCATCCCTTTTTACTTTAAATGTTAGTTACTAAATATACTTTTCCTGTTCTGGTTCAAGATGCCTTCATAGTCCATTACAAACAACCAGCTGAAATGCTGCATCTTCTGTCAATTAGAAAGATACTCCAGCTAATGACAAACTCTGTGGATAAGTTTCATGTTTTGTATAAAATCTTCAGTCAGTTCTTGTTGCCAATTATCCCTAAGGAAACAGTCTGGCTTTCAATGAATCAAGTTAATTTACATGAACAGAAAAAAACCTCAATAGTAGTAGGATATAACACCGTAAATCCTTATTTACGAAAGACTCCATTTATTCATCTCTGATGGGTTACTTAAATTGTTAATTAATGTTTACTAGGGGATGTCCTAGAGGAGAAAAGAGGTGGCTTTTCTGGAAAAGTCATCCTGAACAAAATATGTAACCGTGCATTTGTCTATAGCACATCTAAACACCGAGCAATGTATTATGTAAGTTATGATAATCATCTTGTTAGTCTTGTAACAGGAGATGCTTTAGCCCCTTGTTTCAGAAATTCTGGCAGTTGTTGTGCTGTGTCTTATCACAGCTTCTCCCAA